GAGAGTCTTCCTTGCTTGGGTGCACCTGGTGGGCGTGAGCTGTTTTCAAGACCAGCATTAGGGTCGGGTGCGGTGGCTCATGCCTGTAATCCCAGCACTCTGGGAAGCCGAATGTGTGGATTGCTTGATCGCAGGAGTTCAAGACCAGCCTGAGCAAGAACAAGACCCTGTCTCTAAAAATAGCTGAGTGTTGTGGTGGGTGCCCATAGTCCCAGCTACTTGAGAGGCTGAGATAAGAGGATCACTTGAGCCCAAGCGTTTGAGGTTGCTGTGAGCTATGTCACCACAGCACTCTACCCAGGGTGACAAAATGAGACTCTGTCTCAGAAACAAAACAAAGTAAAACAAAACAACAGCATTAGTGTTCACCTTCTATAGAAAATAATCTGTCCCTGAATTTATGGCACACTCACTTAAGTGTTGCATATCCGGTTTTGTGTAATCTGAAGTACAAAAATTCAAATTCCTTTGTGGCTTGGACTTTTAAAAAAATAAGTGCAGTAGAAGCTGTACTTACAGCTGACCACCTCTCTACAGTGACAGCCTCCTTAAGTTGACCTAATTTTCACAGACCAGACATGTACCACATGCACGTCAGTATAGTAGGACTAGTTCCTTATGGTGACCCCTCTCTGTGTTGACCAGTTTGTTACAGTCCCTTGCATGGTCAACTTACAGAGGTTCTACTGCATTTTGTTCCACAGAATTGTTTAAACATTTCTCTAAAAAGTAAACATGCTTGGGCGACACCTGTGGCTCAAAGGGGTAGGGGGCTGGCCCCATATGCCAGAGGTGGCGGGTTCAAACCCAACCCCAGCCAAAAACTGCCAAAAAAAAAAAAAAAAAAGTAAACATCCTTTGCAACAAATAATGTTGGGACGACTGGATATCCATGTGGAAAAGAATGAAATTGTGTCCCTGCCTCACACCAAACACAAAAAAATGAATTCAAAATGGATCATAGACTTAAATATAAGAGCTGAAACCATAATACTCTTAGAAAAAATTCAAGGAATAAATCTTCATAATCTGGGATTAGGCAAAGCCTTCTTAGATATGACACAAAAGCACAACTGACAAAAGAAAAAAGTAGGTAAGTTTGAATTCACCAAAAATTAAAAATGTTTGTGTCTGAAAGGATTCCATTGAGAAAGTAGAAAGAAAATCCACAGAATGGAAAAAAATATTTGCAAATCACATGTATGATAAGGGACTTGCATGTGGAATGTGTAAAGAATGCTTACAACTCAGTAAGAAGAAGATAAATAACCCAATTAAAAACAAGCAATGAATAAACATTTCTGCAGCACAGACAGATGACCAAAAGCGCCCAAAAAGATGCTCAGCTCGATTCATCGTTAGGGAAATGCGAGCCAGCCCACACTGAGATGCCACTTCGAATTCACAAGGACGTCTATGATTAAGAAAGACAGATAGCAACAAGTGTTGGCAATAATGTAGAGAAATTGGAACTCTCCTACACTGTTCATGGATGCAAAATGGGCCAGCCAATTTGGAAAATAGTCTGATAGTTCCTCAAAAGTTTAACGTAAACTTACTCTACGACCCAGCAATTCCACTCCTGCTGGTATTCCCAAGAGCATCGAAAACATGTCCATAAGAATGTGTACGTGAATGTTCAGAACAGCATTATTTACAATATCTAAAAAGTGAGAAAAAACAAATGTCTGTCAGCGGACGGGTGGGTAAGCAAAGGCAGTGTATCCAACAACGGAATGTTCTTTGTGAAGTACTGACTCCTGCTACAACCTTGGAAACATTATGCTGAGTGAAAGGAGCCAGCTACAAAGAACAACATATTTGTTATTTTATTTTTATAAAATATCAAGAGTAGGCAAATCTGCAGAGCTAGAAAGCAGCTTAGAAGTTACCTGGGGGTGGGGGTAGAAGGAAGTGGATCGTGACTGTTAGTGTACTAATGGGTCTGGGGTTTCTTTTGGGGATGAAGAATGTTCTAAAATTGATTATGTGATGGTTGTATAACTCTATGAATATACTAAAAGCTATTGAATTGTACACTTTAAATAGATGAATTGTATGGTATGTGAATTCAATTTCAACAAAGCTATTATAGTTTTAAAACTTAATAAGAATAATATATTTAAAATCTAATCTCTCTCCTTCCTTCCCTTCTTCCTTCTTTCCTCCCTTTTTTTCTTTTGTCTTCCTTTCTTTCCCATGTCTAATTTATAAGCCTAGGATAGAATACACAGTATGTTTAGTCCATGAAATAAACTGTAATTATATTGTCAGTTGGGTAATAAGAGAAGGTAGCAAGCCCAGAGTGGAAAGTTCATTTAATTTGAGAAACTACAGACACAGAAAGAGAACATCTGAGGTTTAAGCAACTCTTCTTAATGACATTTGTTCTTTTTTTTCATTTAACACATATTAATAGGACATTTATTAAACATTTGAGGTACTGTGCTAGGTGCTATTTTATTGATTTCAAAGCAATAGGAGAATAGGTTCCTTAGCACAAACCTAAGACCAAGTTTCAAATGTTTCATAACCTGTCTAAGTTACCCCCTGCTAATCTCTTCTAGCAATTAGTTTACAGTAGCTGACTTTGGTCTACCATAAATTTCTTACAAAGTTTTTTTTTAGAGACAGAGTCTTATCACCCTTGGTAGAGTACCGTGGTGTCACAGCTGACAGCAACCTCCAACTCCTGGGCCTAGGTGACTCTCTTGCCTCAGCCTCCTGAGCAGCTGGGACCACAGGTGCCCACCACAATGCCTGGCTGTTTTTTTGTTGCAGTTTGGCCGAGGCCAGGCTTGAACCCACCACCCTCAGAATATGGGGCTGGTGCACTACCCACCAAGCCACAAGCACTGCCCCTAAATTGCTTACAAAGATAAAACACACAGTAGCATTTGGAATCTTTGATATTTACAGAAATGCAAAGCACTTCCTTAGAAAATTCATACAGTAGCTGTGTGTTTTGAACAATGTCTGAGTTTGTCTGACAGCAAGAGTGGGGCGTAGAGAAGCCAAGGTTGCCTCTCTTGGATTCTTCTTCCATCAGGGGGTCTTTGCAGACCTACTTTGGTTTAGGAAGGCTGGAAGCTCAACCCAGCTGAGGTCAGCAGCTAATATTAGCCTAAGGCCTTTGGAGAAACTGGCTGATTATGAAATACCTCTCAGGAGACTCAGGCCTACCAAGATGGAGTCAGAACCCACCGCTCCTTAAAGCAAACCCAAATCTTAGATTAGTATGGCTTAGAAGTGTTGTCTCATCCCAGATCCTCTGACTTGTATCCCAGGAGGTGAGGTAGACAATGCTTAAAAGCCCAGAAAGTTTGCAAACTATCCTCTATGACTAAACTTAGATCTGAAGTGGATTTCCAAGGTCCCTTTAATAGTGCAGAGAACCGGGCCTTTATAATTCAGGACTCTTCTGGGTTAAAAAGAATTCCCTGAGCCTGTTCTGGTTTAGGCTCACTTCTCCAGCACTTAATTGGATTGGCTTGTGGAAATTAGGCAGGAAAGGCATCTGTTCAGCTCATCCTTAATTTAAAGATCATTCTGGCTTAGCTCCTGTGGCTCAAGTGGCTAAGGCACCAGCTGCATACACCTAAGGTGGCAGGTTTGGATCCAGCCTGGGCCCGCCAAAACAACAATGACAGCTGCAATCAAAAAAATAGCCAGGTGTTGTGGTGGGCGCCTGTGGTCCCAGCTACTTGGGAGGCAGAGGCAGGAGACTTGCTTGAGCCCAGGAGTTGGAGGTTGCTGTGAGCTGTGATGCAATGGCACTCTACCCAGGGGGATAGCTTGAAGCTCTGTAAAAAAAAAAAGATCATTCTTTTCTTTTATCTTTGGTTGGTCAACCCAATTATTTTCCTCCTGGAATTAGCAGGGAAGTCATAAAATAATTCAGGAGGAAAGATGTCTTCAAACACGATATTCCTAGCAAATTTTGCTCCTGCTGAACAAAACACATTTAGAGAAAATAGGATTTTCTTAAGGAGAACAATTTAACTTTAAAACAAAAATAAAAAGGGATACATTTCAACCAAATAATCAAGACATTCACATGTATGCATTATTTAAGGCAAAAAGGTTTTGTTTCCACTCAATGTCTGAATTTTCTTTATTATTTACCAGTATTCATGATTCCTTTTATACCTAATTCTTATTCACTTATTCAGCATCATTTATTGAGTGATTATACTTTTTCAAAAAAATGTTAAATTTTATTATGTAACTTGCAGATTTTTCAGGAGTGAAGGAGGAAAATGGCAGAAAAATCAAATGCAAAACTGTGCAAGTCTGGGTGAGGTGGTTCCCACCTATAATCCTGACACCTTGGGAAGCCGAGGCCAGGATTTGAGACCAGCCTGGGAGACATAGCAAGATCCCATCTCTTAAAAAATATGGTGGCATGTGCCCATAGTCCCAGCCACTCAGGAGGCTGAGGTGGGAGGATCACTTAAGCCCAGCAGTTTAAGGCTGCAGTGATCTGTGATCATGCCACTGCTCTCCAGCATGGGTGACAGAGTGAGTCTTTAAAAAGAAAGAAAGATGACGGGCACCTATAGTCCCTGCTACTTGGGAGGCTGAGGCAAGGGAATCATTTATGCCCAAGAGTTTGAGGTTGCTGTGAGCTGTGATGCCATGGCACTCTACCAAGGGTGACATAGTGAGACCCTGTCTCAAAAAAGAAAGAAAGAGAGAAAGAGAGAAAGAAAGAAAGAAAGACAGACAGACAGATAGGCCAGATTGGGTGGCTCACACCTTTAATCCCAGCACTCCCAGACTGAGGTAGGATCACTTGAGCTCAGGGAGTTCAAGACTAGCCTGATCAAGAGTGAGATCCCGTTTCTACTAAAAGTAGAAAAACTAGCTGGGTGTGGTGGTGGGTGCCTCTGGTCCCAGCTAGTTGGGAGACTGAGGCAAGAGGATCACTTGAGTCCAAGAGTTTGCAGTTGCTGTGAGCTACGATGCCTCAGCACTCTATCCAGGATGACAGAGTGAAACTCTGAATCAAAGAAAGAAAGAAAGAAGAGAGAGAGAAATCAAGAGTTAGCGCCCTCTGGATTTGATTTTGCTGATTCACTTTTAATGTAATCACTTGGCTATCTCTCAGGGATTCATCCCTCACAAGGGAGGAAAAGTGGACCCCACCAGACTTACTGGGACACTATCCTTCAAGGAAAAAGAAACTTTGAGCAATAGATGTCTTTTTCAACAACTACTGCCCATGTTTTGAAAGTACTGATTTGCTTTCAGCCCAATAACAAAGGCTGATTTGCCTTCTTTCCAACTGATTCGACGGTTTTCTGGAGCCTTAAAAACACATTACATAAGTCCTTAGAACTCTTTTGAGCAGGTAAATTCAGTATTGGTAAGCAGTGATCCTTTGTTGTCACTGCTGAATCATTTTTTGAAGGTAAAACACGACATAAAGTCTTCATCATCTGAGGAGACCTGGGGTGTTGCCTTTTCCTGACAAAAAATCTCACTTGGGGCTGTGCCTCATGTAGGGTGGACTTGTCTTCAGGGCAACAGCAGGAAACATGTATACAGGGTGCCCCTAAAGTCTCTGTGCAATTTAGAATAGGTTAATGTAGTAAGTTGCACACAAACTTTATGAACATCTGGTATAGATGGCTTGTCACCTGAAATTGCAGTTGTCCCTTGTTGTACGAATCCTCTCACAGCAGACTTAGGTGACTAAACTCAACTATTCCAACGCAGGCTCAGTGCTTCTCCTCAAGGGTTTCTAAAGAACTTGGGTCTCTGAGGTGGCATAGTGACCAGACTTTTTTCCTGATCATCAAAAATGCCTGGTTAGTTAGAACCAAGACCCGGTTCCCACCACCCAGCACCATTTTTTAGGAATTCTGTGTCACTGGAAGACTCAGCCATGGTTCAGCAGGCCTTGCCTCAGGACTACCGGTGTGTAAAACCAGTGTTTAATGTATCACCGTTCCAAGCAAGGACCTGAGAGCCTGCTGCCACATCCATATTCCCATCAGTGAGACACCCCTTTCTGGGCCTGTAATGACATGTCAGATGTCCCTGATTCCAGAGCCAAAGTGTGGCACTGGCTGGGGACACCCCACACAGGCAGATGGGCGGGCGGGCAAACAAGTTATCCATCTGTCCGCATGCTTTGGACCGTGGTGTACCATGCAAGGTGAAGGCCGCGTCCATTGGAGGCTTCTGTACACTCAGACTTTGGGAGGGGGACCCACATCTTTCATTCTCCTTGTTTTATGAATTCTTCAATGCTTAATGATTTTTTTTTGTTTGATTGGTGGTGATTCATGCTAAGATAACATCCTTTCTGGGACTTTGTATGCGGTGAAAAAAATTCCACAATCTGGATCAGAAACAAACAGTAACTTTTGCTCTCACAGTCCAAGATTATGGCCACAGACCCTGAGGACTGCTCCTGAGAGTGGACAGGGAACAGGTATGAGGCCTGAGGGCCACTTTGTACAAGGCAGGACAGAGAGGGGCCCAGAATGACCATGCAACGTCCTCTCAGGGAGGCTGCTGCAGGAGCAGGCCTCTGCTCAGACAGTTCATCCTGAGTAACTATATGAAAAGAAAGGGAAAAATTAGCTGAACAAATGAAAGGCTAGGATTTTTCCTCCTTCTGGGAAAAACAATGTTTTTTCTTAAAGAAGTGGGGACTTTTATGCATGGAATCATCCAAAAATAATGTATTTTTGATTTTTATGGCCTTGATTGTGTTAATTAAGCTATTATTCACACAGAAAATGAAAATCATTCCACTTTGGAGGCAGACTTTCTGACAGTGTTTTGGGACAAGCAGTGCTCAGTTATGCAAACAGTAGGAGCAGAATCAGGGCCAGCACGCAGCAGCTGCTCGGTAGGCCTGGCGGGGCGTCGCTGGCCGGGCCCTTCAGCATGCACAGCACCCGGGACCAGGACCCGTTGTTGGGTAGGGGGGCAATGCCTGCCACATGGCACATGACATTGTAGACGTCCACCGACCTGATCGGAGCGGCTCTGAAGTTGGACTTGAAATCTGAAATAGAAAAGCAAACACAAGCCATTGGAGCCTCCAGCTGAGCACAGCGGGTGCTGAGCCACAAGGTGGAGGAATTGCATTCAGGCTGCTGTGAACTAGGGGCTGGGAAATCGGCTCCACCCAGGAGGTGTGGCCTAGTGGGGGCTGGGAAATCGGCTCCACCCAGGAGGTGTGGCCTAGTGGGGGCTGGGAAATCGGCTCCACCCAGGAGGTGTGGCCTAGTGGGGGCTGGGAAATCGGCTCCACCCAGGAGGTGTGGCCTAGTGGTCGCAAACTTGGTATTGCACCTGGAAGACTCCGTGTTATGTTTTGTAGGGAATAGCTTTCTATTCCTATGGAAAGTAAAAGATGAGCTGCTTTAAAGGTAAGTCAGCAAAGAGATTTTGTGTATAGCCTTGGTCTCTTTGTGAAAACAGGCCTTCCTGTTCAGAAAGGCCCTCTGAAGCCGCCCGTGACTGCAGGGCTGGGGTGCTGCTGGTCACACACTGTCTTACTGGGCTCCCCTTAACCAGATTATGGTCTGCTCATCTTCCAGAACAATCCATACAGGGTGCCAAATTCTACTGCAGAGACCTCTCCAGACTCAAAGATGGTTACGCCACTTTCATGTCACAGGTCTTTTTTTTTTTTTTTTTTTGAGACAGAGCCTCAAGCCGTCCCCCTGGGTAGAGTGCCATGGCATCACAGCTCACAGCACCCTCCAACTCCTGGGCTCAAGTGAGTCTCCTGCCTCTGCCTCCCAAGTAGCCGGGACCACAGGCGCCCGCCACAACGCCTGGCTATTTTTTGGTTGCAGCCATCATTGTTGTTTGGCGGGCCCGGGCTGGATTCAACCTGCCACCTTAGGTGTATGTGACTGGCGCTTTAGCCACTTGAGCCACAGGCACCGAGCCCACAGGTCTTAATGGTATGTGAACCGTGCAGTTTCCTTGGGGGCCAGCTAGTTCACAGCAGCAGTGACAATAGCTTCCTAAATGCGTTAGGAAGGTCAATGGAACATTCCTGGGGAGCCATTCACTGACAGATAAATTAACCATGTGGAAAATAAGCAAACTGGTACTGAAAGAAGGGATACGAGTGAGGACCCTGGGTGACCTGATGGAGGAGAATATGGTGACCCTGCCAGAGTCAGCACTGAACCTGTGCGGTTGTGGGACAAGCAGGACGGGCTGGCCACTTGAGGCAGAGTAAGGGGCACTGAAAGTGACTGTATGTTCTTGAAGGGATTTTAATCGAATACATTTTCTCCATAAGAGGCAAATAAGATGCTAAATTCAAAGCACTTGTCCTTTTCAATAGTAAATAGAAGACTTTGGGGATATTCATAAGCAACTTCACTTTTAGGTTCCAAACCAGACCTTCCAACAAAATACCTAGGACCACACTAAGGTTGAATTTAGAAAGGAGGTTTTATCTGTGATGAAGGCCTACACGTGTGCTTTTGGTTCACCTGAGATTTTTAAAGGAAAAGAGTAGTTTGGAGGCGGTAAAGCCAAGTTTTCTATCTTAGGAAAAAATCTTTAAATTGCTTCGCTGAAATGATCAGATGCTAGAATAGCAAATTAGAAAAAAGTTACAAGCAATCCCCGAGTCGTGAGTGAGATAGGTTCTGTAGGTTCGTTCTTAAGTCAAATTTGTATGTAAGTTAGAGCAGCTGCATTTTACCTATTACTGTAATAGCTTCCATTCATAAGTGAAAGTCATATGTAAGTCAGATGTTTATAACTCGGGGACTCCCTGTATGTACAGAAAACTCTGCTACACAGTACGTTAGATCTAGAGCAACTTCCCAAGTGACAAGTTTTGCTCCTTCTGATTTTTTTGTAATTTTATTTGGAGACAGATTCTCACTCTGTCACCCAGGCTAGAGTGCCCTGGCCTCAGCCTATCTCACAGTAACCTCAATCTCCTGGGCTCAAGTGATCCTCCTGCCTCAGCCTCCCAAGTAGCTGGGACTACAGGTGCCCCCCACCATACCTAGCTAGTTTTTCTATTTTTAGTAGAGATGGAGTCTCACTCTTACTCAGGCTGGTCTCAAACTCCTGAGCTCAAGGGATCCTCCCACCTTGGCCTCACAGGTGCTGGGATTACAGGTGTGAGCCATGGTGTCCAGCCTCCTTCTGACTTTATGGTCAGATGCCCTGGATGTGACAGTCCCACTGTCACACTGGTGGCTGTGTCCTTGTCCTGTGTGTGAGTAGGAGGGCATGTGAGGTGGTGACCAATAAGAAGCCTTTCAAGCTGGAAAATATTCTTCTTAGTGAAGTATCTCAAGAATGGAAGAAAAAGTATCCAATGTACTCAGCCTTACTATGAAACTAATTTATAACTTTCATAGGAAAACTTTAACCCAATTTTAGCCCAAGAATATGGGGAAAGGGGAGAGGGAGGGGAGGGGGGAGGATGGGTGGAGGGAGGGTGATTGGTGGGATCACGCCTATAGTTCATCCTATAAGGGTACATGTGAATCTCTCTAAATGTAGAATATAAATGTCTTAACACAATAACTAAGAAAATGACATGAAGGCTATGTTAACCAGTTTGATGAAAGTATTTCAAATTGTATATAGAAACAGTACACTGTACTCCATGATAGTATTAATGTACACAGCTATGATTTAATAATAATAAAAGAAGCCGTTCAAAAATCTGCTTCCTCAACACTTTACCAAGATCATGCTCTTCTGACAAGAGGGTCAGAAAATGTTATCTTTCTACATTGAAAGGATAAAACCAAATACTGGATATGGGAGCAGGAAGGAAAATTGGATTTTCTTTCCCACACCCTGTAGTTCATGGCTTCCTGTTCTGCACAGGATGGGACTTTGGGCTCAATGCAGAGATGATCCAGGCTGCAATGAAATCTCCTAGAAAATTCCTGAATAGCAAAACAATGCCTGCTCCAACCAGGGAGGACCCGGACAAGCTTCAGTAGCTCAATATGGCATTGTAAACCTAGCCTGCAAATCCAAGTTATTTTCACGGGTTTACTTTTTTTTTAATATTGAAAATGTGTCTCCTAAAGAGAAAAGTCTTTGCAGGCCCACGCAGTGCCCGGCGCCCTGAGCTGCTTTCTGAGCAAGGCTGGCTATAGGCAGCTCACTAAATCACAGCCCTGCTGTCTCATTTCCAGTGCAAGAGTTCTCTAGGGCAAGATTTGGTTGTTGAAATTAGAAGCTAGGATTAACCAGAGAGAGGCTTTCTTCCAGAATTATTTTCCTTGCTTGTTGCTGGACCAGACTTACTGACTTCTAAGGCCATCTCCGGGCAGCTGCAATTATGTCTTGTGTCCAATCTATGCAAGGTTCAGGAGGCATGAACCTTTATCTCAAAGTGCAGCTCGGTCATTATTTAAGGGCTTGCTCCTAAATGTTCTTCTCAGTAAACAGTCAGTGGGTAAAGCTGTTTAATCTTTCATGAGAATTGGAGCCAGAAATGGGAGGCTCTCAACACTCTTATCTGCCTGGGAACATTTTGCAATTAGCCCTGTCCATTTGCATCAGGGGTTGTCTTTCTGTTCATAAAAGACCAACGCTTTTTAGTTTTAAAGGAACCTGCAATGAAGCGCTCTGCTTGGGGATGAAATCTCCCCCTGGAATTTAACTTGAAGTTAACACAGCTTTGGGTACTTTATTTAAAATTTGGGTTGGGGGCCAGACACAGTAGCTCATGTCTATAATCCTAGCTCTCTGAGAGGCCAAGGTGGGACGATCACTTGAGCTCAGGAGTTCAAGATCAGCAAGAGAAATAGAAATATTAGTCAGGAGGCTGTAGCAGGAGGATCACTTGAGCCCAGGAGTTTGAGGTTGCTGTAAGCTAGGCTGACACCATGGCACTCCAGCCTGCATGACAGAGCAAAACTCTGTTTCCAAAAAGGTAGGGGGCAAAGCAAATTTGCTTTCATCCAAGATACGTCTAATCATCCTGGCTCAGAGTCAGGGTCAAGGTCATTCCTCAGCCTGCCCTTGAGCATGTCCTCACTTCTGGTTGGCCCTGAACAGAAAGGGCCTCTTGGAGTGTGTGCTGTAGACCCTGAGAAGCGATCACATCAACTTCAAGTCTCACAGCTGTCGGCAGCCCGGACATCAGATAGCTGTGCAATAACGTTTTGATGAATTAAGTAAAAAAAAAAGGAATCACAAACATGTGGAATGCATTTTCTCCACTGTACTCAGGATTGAAAATTTATAAGGAAAAAGTTTTTGGTCATATTTGCCAAAACCAAAGCAGCATTTGAAAGGAAGCCAGCCAGAGATGCCTCATGGGCTCGGCTGGGCTTGCTCGGGTTGGTTCATAAAGGTGGGTCTGTCACTGGCACTGTTAGTCCCTGCTAGAGACACCTCCCTGGAAATGGTGGGCTGAGAGCATTTGATCATTTCGTCACCTACCAGGTCCGAAGGCCAGGAAAATGCCACGCATATCCATGAGCTCGTTGTCATACCCGTGCCACCCGCGCTGCCAGCCTTCCTGCTTGCCAGTGCTGTTCATCCAAAATGGAAGCATCTCCCGATCCTGAAATCAGGCAAGGCAGTTACATGACACTGCGCCTGGACAGTGGCGCTGAGTGGGCGTCTGCTGCAGACAGCCACCCACTGTGGGACATCCTCCCCGGTGCCCCTGATTGGGGGGACCCAGCGTCTGCTGCCCCGCCCTCTCCTCCAATCATATTGGGTCCTGGGCAGCAGAGCCCTATTCAGAAGAGCTGAATTGTGTCTCATAAGCAGCTGGAGAACCATGTTAGTGACCGAGGGCTATTCAAGTGTATCGGTGGTGTGATAAATATGTGTTTGGTCTTTGTGCCAGAGTCCTGATCTAGAGCCCCCAAAACCTGTGGAGTTTGCTGAGTGGTCAAGTGTCTTGCATACATAATAAGCTCCTTTGTCCCACCCTGAGTTGAGGCTACTGAGATGAGCCATGCAGTGCGGCTGGGGGCCAGGTAGCTTCAGGGTGGGGCTGGTTACCAGAGGAGCCAACCTAGGGGATAGGAGAGCCTCTGGAGACCGAGCTTATAGGTACCTACACTGGGACATCCACAGAAAGGAGCTTCTGGAGACCAGGAGCTCTGCGTCCTCCCCTCCCAAACTTTGCTCTGTGCATATCTTTCCTGTAGCTCTTCCTAAGCCGCACCTTTTATAATAAAACTGCAATTGTGGCCAAGTGAGGTGGCTACACCTGTAATACCAGCATTCTGGGAGGCTGAGGTGGGAGGATCCCTTGGCTCAGGAGTTTGAGACCAGCCTGAATAAGAGCAAAACCCTGTCTCTACTAAAAATAGAAATCTAGCCAGGTGTCATAGGCACCTGTAGTCCCAGCTATTCAGGAGTTTGAGGCAAGAGGATCTCTTGAATCCAAGAGTTTGAGGTTGCTGGGAGCTATGACACCACGGCACTCCAGCCTGGGTGACAGAGTGAGACTCTTTCTAAAAAAAAAAGCTCTCACGGTGATTATTTCCCTCATTCTGTAGTTGAAGGGACTATGGCACAGAGCAGTTGACCACACAGGCCTGGGGTTGTCTGCCACCCAGTCCTTGTGCACCATCCACTGCCCACAGCCAGAGGTCACCACAGCACTGCAGCCGGCACTGGCCATTGAGGTGCCCCCTAGGCCCTTGCTTTCTCACTCAGTGTGGCCAGAGGCAAAGCACCGAAGCAGCTTTGGAACTGGGTCAGTGTGGGGTGAATTCCAGTGGCCGCTTTCTGGCTATGCGATCCTGGCTGGCTGCTTCACTTCTCTGAACTTTGGTCTCCTTGCTGAAGATGAGGATGGTGACCCCTGCGAAGTTCCTGGCCCTACTAGGTGCTCAGTGAGTGGCTGTGGTCTGGTCTGCAGATGGCGCTGGCTGTAAGGGCTGAGCCCTGATGTGCTCATTTAGCTGTCATATTGCATTGCACACCCATCCCGTCTCACCCCATAAATCGCCCCCTCTCATTGCTGCTTTCCAAATCTCTCTGTTTCCTGAATTTCTACCACCCCTCGACCCCCTTGTCTAGCTGTGGCTTGTGTTTTCCGTGGGAATGCTTCCTTAACAACTGAGTCTCTACCTTTTTCTTTCTGTTCTTTATCTGACTGTGGTGACGGTCACAGCACCTCCCAATTTAGCTTCCTCGGCTAATTGAATGTGTTGCTTCTCCCTTTCACAGTCTGGGAGGCAGTGAATCCCGAAGCGCCAGGTAGAGCATGTTTGCTGTTAACCCGTTAGGACCCCACGTTAGGACCCCTGTTTGCCCCCAACACGCAAACAGGACAAAGGGAGATGCAGACCAAGGTCCTGATTATAAAATTACACTCTGAATTCTACAATAAACACATTTATACAACGGTGAAAACTCAGCCCAGGGGTAATTTGGGGTCTGTCTGGTCATATGTTAATCCACTAGTTTTTCTTTCTTTCTTTTTTTTAGAGACAGAGTCTCACTTTATCTCCCTCGGTAGAGTGATGTGGTGTCACAGCTCATAGCAACCTCCAGCTCTTGGGCTTAGGCGATTCTCTTGCTCAGCCTCCTGAGTAGCTGGGACTACAGGCGCCTACCACAACACCAGGCTATTTTTTTGGTTGCAGTTTGGCCAGGGCCTTGTTCAAACCCGCCACTCTTGGGGCTGATGCCCTACTCCCTGAGCCACAGGCACTGCCCCACTAGTTTTTCTTAAAATGACAAGGCAAAGGACAGGCACAGTGGCTTACGCCTGTAATCCCAGCATTCTGGGAGATAGGGGCAGGAGGATCCCTTGAACTCAGGAGTTCAACACCAGCCAGAGCAAGAGTGAGACCCCATCTTTACTGAAAATAGAGAAACTAGCCAAGCGTGATGGGTGCATGTAATCCCAGCTGTTTGGGAGTCTGAGGCAGGAGGATGGCTTGAGCCCAGAAGTTTGAGGTTGCTGTGAGCTATGACACTACAGCACTCTACCCAGGCACTCAAGGAAAAATAAAATAAAATAATGACAAGGCACATACTCAAGGGAACCTACTCGTTGGCTTGTTGTTCAGTGCAAGGCCCTGAGGAAACCACTGTGAATGACAGTGTGGGGACCTAATCTGACCTCAGTCCAGGTGATCATCACACTCTGAAAAGTGAAAAGAAGCATTTTGGTTTGTAGAGAAGAGAGCATGAGGGACCCTCCTGGAGACATGGTCAGTCACGTGGCATGGAAGCCACTGTGTGCTGTCGACGGGCCTGGCTTGGCCCCTGGACCCTACCCTGGCATTTCTGGCCCCATCTGCTGGGTTCTCTGTTCTCTGCTGATCAGGTGCCCCTCTTTGCCTGAGAGCCCACAGGAATGGCTCAGTCGTCCTGTATCTGTGGGAACCCCCATTTTTCCTAGGCCTGTGTCCCTGAACTCCTACTCATTTCCTAGTTAGCATTTCTGGTCATTGGCACCTGCCCTCTCTCTGCTGAAATGTTTGCAAGTCCTGGGGCTTACACTTCCTCGGCCTACTGTTCTGTTTTACCCTGTGGTCTGATCTGCTTGCAACCCACCTTCAAATGTATATCTAAAATACCCCAGGCTCCCTTTAGGAATTAATTCTAAGCATGACATGACCAATGAGTCCCCTGGGGGCAGGGCCTTCCCACTTCGGCCCAGTATCCTAAGCTGGTAACAAGAGCCCTGTGTGCATGGAGTCCGTGCAGACTAGAAGGAGGTGGTGAAGTCGTTCAGGCACGAGGCAATTAAAGTTTGGCCCCAAAATGCAAGACAATGTCCACTGAATCAAGTTCTCAAGCCGGGGACCTGGAGCTACAGAGTCTCCTTTGCCAAACATTTCTTTTAAAGATGAAGCAGCGCTGAGCCCCTGCTTGCTTTTGTCTGCCCTTGAGCAATCCCTTCGCTTCACAGTAATTGTTCCACTTTAAACTGAGCTATATTGCGAGCTTGGGTAATCGAGTTAAGGCGTGTTTGTTAAAACACGGTGGGTCTGGAGCCAGGAAGTCTAAACCAGGACTATGGGTTCACAGCCACAGTTGTGTCTAAAGAGTCCCAGGAGCAGGGCTTTTGATTCTCCAAAGAAGGCAGAGATGTGCTGAGTGATGCATAAGTGGAAAAGCCTCTCACGTGTAAAGCTGAATAACGTTTGTGTTTGGACTGTGGGATGGAATCTGAGTACTGAATAAGCTGTTGCATGTTCTGTGCTTACCTCAGTGATGAACCAGCCTTCGTCAGCCACTAACGTCAAAGGAGAGACAAATTTCCCTTTCTTGTAGTGGAACCTGCTTGGTATGGCTTCCTTCTCGTACACGGTCATGTGAGCCACGGTGCTCAGCTTGTTATATACCTGTGGAGAAATCAAGTGTGACTGGTTTGGCACTCTGTCTCTTAAATGTGAAGTCTGATAATAAGTTCACCAACTTGTCCTAGAAAAAGTGCTACGTACCTATTGCTAAACATCACTAAGGTCACCTTTGAAGTACTCCCCTTGGGAAGCTATGCCAGTGCCTGGTTCACCCTTCAAAGCAATTTTTTAACTTGAAATTAATTTATTTTTATTTTTCTGAGACAAAGTACTTTGGGTACAGTGCCTTGGCATCATAGCTCACAGCAACCTCAAACTCCTGGGCTCCGGTGATCCTCTTGCCTCAGCCTTCCAAGTAGCTGGGACTATAGGACCTGCCACCACGTCCAGCTAGTTTTTTCAGTTTTTAGAAGAGACAGGGTCTTGGTCTTGCTGAGGCTGGTCTCAAACTCCTGAGCTCAAGGGCTCCTCCTGCCCTGATCTCCCAGAGTGCTAGGATGACAGCCATCATCCAGCATACCCAGCCCCAAAGCACTTTTTCTAGGATGAATTCACAAACTTGTCACTCTGATAGCCATTCCAGAAAGGGTTCCATAATTTTATGATGAAGATGTAAATGTTGTACATACTTTTAGTATTATCAGCAGCTTAAATATTTATGGCTAAAATTAAAATCAACTCCTTGATGTTAACTTTGACCCAAATTCCTGGGTGTAACTGAATGTGAGATGAGTTTATCAACTCAACTCCAAAAAATGACTTGGTAGAGGGTTTCTGATGGCTCCATGCGTTATGATTTCCTACTTAAGAAAATCCAGAGTTCTGAAGACAAGTAGGGTGCATTTATAGAATGCTTTTGTGTCAGTGAAAAAGCTGGTGACACCCAATAGCTCTCACAAACTGTTGTGTCCGTCACATGACAAACTGTTGCTAAAACACAGCCCCTACTTTTGAATAATCTACCAACTGCTTTGGGCCGTTGGCAGCGCCTGACTCACACATCACGCGGTGATTGGCTCTTCCCAGCTCAGCTGCAGCTGATGCCCGAGCTTCTGGGGGCTGCACATTCCTAAGTGCCAAATTGGAGGCAAAGATGATCCTCCCTGCCAAAAAAGCCAGAACTTCTTTTCAAGAATCTGCCAATGTGTAAAATTTTTCTCCTGGTTTCATATTAGGGAGTTCATAGGGACACTGTATGAACACATTTTGCTCTAGTACTTTCTGACCCAGGAGTCTGAGGGAAAAAGGACAGTGTGGCTCCTGGGGACCAGGACAGGCTGGGGGCAGTGGCATTGTAGGCCACTGTGCCTTCCACCCCCAAATGGGCAGATCCTATATGGGAGTGGGGAAGGGGGCGAGGAGGGGTGTCTCTCTGGCTCAAAGAGGGGGGCTCCTGGCCTCCACTGATACCAATGACAGTCCAGAGTCAAATGCCCCACCGCCATAAGGATGGAGGCCCAGGACCTATTCCCCGCATCCCTG